GAAACTGCAAAATATTAGCAGTTCAATTTCCTTGTATTTGACCTGCAAAAGATTATAAACTCAAGAACTTGTATTTGACAATAAGCAGTAATCATCTTTATGTCAGATACATAGCTGGATAAGCAAAAGCACCCAAAGGGGTAAAAATTATCAAATTGTTATCATTACCAAAATTATCTTGCACTGTATAACCTTAGTGGATTATGCATTAGAATGATAGTGCTGAGAATGACAACAATCACAGTGTATGGAAGACAAACAGGACATGAATCCAAAGAAATTATTCAGAGAACCTTCAGTGAATGGATGTGCAAAGGGATAAAGGGTTACTAAGTTTCACATCTACTATGCTAAAAGTGTCATATTTTCCTAATTTTCATTATACACAAAATTATGTGGCTTAAAGTCACTTCCATAGAACTGCTGATCTTAATTTATGAGTTGAACTACTAAACATGAGGTACTGCTGTCTGTAGTGTTACACTGGATTTAACTTGCCTTATTAAATATTTGTGAAAAATGTGCAACTTTATAGGGGTGTCATGACATACACTAGATTCTAATTATTTTTCACATTTTTTTTCATTAAGGAGTAAATGTAATGCATAGGAAATATGCTGCAGAATTTTATGCATTAGTCTGCTAAAAAAAACAAGCAACAGAATTTTCACAGCTTTCATTCAGCCAAATATTAACCTAACCCAAAAAGACTGAAGCTAAAGACAGAGGTACATGTGAACCTATACGCTTTTGGGTTACCTTATATTAACCACAGTTTTTGGTTCAGGTAGGACTATCAAACCCTGGCAGAAGAATTATCCTTTTAATTAAGGACATCTGTTTTATTTATTGCTAAGTTTAATATTCAGGAAACTTTTAAATATGCAACTTTGATTTTGGAAGTTTTAGATACGCAACTTTGATTTTGGAAAGGGATTTTTTTTTTAGTTTCTGTGAAGCCAAGCAGTTTGATTAGCATTGATTAAAATGCAGTAGGATGTCTTTTTAAACAAGCTGTCAATTAGGTCAGGTTTCTCATACACATTAAAATGAAGCCCCCGCTAGAAAAGAAAGAAAACACAAAGGGAGAAAGAGAAGGAGAAAGGAAAAAGATGGGGATGAGAGGACAAACCAATCAGATTTGGTGTTACCAGCCAGCAGAAGTTTTAAAAAAATCAGATGACCGAGTGAAATCGTACATTTACTCGGAGAGAGCATCCTTTGACATTGCCTTCTAGGTGATCTCTGAGCTCCTTCCGCTTTCGACGGAGCTACATGTAAACATCAGGAAATGAATTGAAAAAGCAACCTGTTCTCATAATCATTTTTTTTTCTTCATTTTTATTTTGTTCTTTTTTTTTGTGTTTTATTTTGTTTTCAATAAATCATAGCTTAACGCATTTCTCACTGCCTCTGCCAAAACATTTCAAGACATCAAAGTGCTTTGAACAACATGGACACACAAGCTCAGTAAACTTGGAATCTGGAAGCAAGACATCTTTGCCTAACATGGCTCTTTCCCACTACAGGAAAAAAAAATTGAAAAATCAAGAGAACTATCATTCTAAAGCTACTGAATTTCTGCTACACTGTTTATTATGTACATATTTATTTATTTCCTTGTTTATTGGTAAGGCTGTGTCTAGAATTTATTTCCATAAAGAATAATTTTTAGAGGTAAATTTTCATGTTTGGGAACCTCAACTAGGATTTCCCATTTTCTATAAGGAAGATTTTTGTGTCTAAATATGTATTTTGGGTCATATAATTAAATCTTAGGCAATCCGATACAGAAATATTCATCCAAAATTAGGTATCATTAGGTGTCCATAAAAATAATAGGTGAAACCCACCACATAAATAAGCTACATCTTCTGCATATATACATGCATTACGAATCTAGAATTGTATGTGATGACCCAAGCCTTAAGACGCACAGGTCACTGTAGTTACATACACAATTTTCAAAAACAGCATAGAAACAGTGCTGTCTTTTATTTTCCTCTATGTGAATTCAGTGGTCTGAATGTCTGCCACTGAAAGAGTGCCTCATTCATGTACAGTGCTCTTCTCATCTACACCGTAATTAAAACCTCTTCCCAAATCACAAGACGAAAAGATAAAGCCTCACAGACAGTGAGGAATGCTACAGATGCCTCTAGCTAGAACCTGTATAAACAAGTAACAACTGCCTTCTTTTTCTATGTTGAGATCAATTTAAGTGGTGGCATTACTGGAAAATGTACATAATTAATCTTTTCCCTCCCCTTCTTTGTGCTCAGTGAAACAACATTTTCACAAAGAGCAGCTGTAGAACAGTGTTAGAGAACAGAGAGGATGGCTTGTCCTGGAACAAAGGCAATACATTCATATACAAAACCAAAACCAAAACAGAGGTAAAAAACCAAGAAGGTAGAAAAGGCAAGGAGAATGCACAAGAAAAAAACAAATTAGTGCTTGAGAAAGTGCTAAAAGGAAATAAAGTGGGGAAAAGTGAAAAATTGGATAGTTGAAAGAGACGCAACTCTTGAAAAGGAACCTAAACAAAATGGCTTGGACTGCATATGATCAGCATCTTGGTTCCAAACCATTTATCAGGGTGTAACATGGTGGGTACTGGTTTAGATATCTGCCTGTTCTGTTAAGCAATCTAAATATTTGGGCATGTTTATACAAACACCAAAAGGCAGAAGATACTAATTATCAGCAAAACAGTGGCTCCATTCATAGACTCTTGTGAATCTCTCATTTCATCTTTACTTACTCTGGTATTTTTTTCTTATTTAAAGGCTACATATATATGAAATATTCAACTATCTTGTAATGGTGTTTTGCAGAATTAAATGCAAAAAGCGTCAACACTATAAAAGTTTAATTATGTTTGAAGATGGGAAGCAGTAGTTTGAAGATGAGTAAGCCACTTCTCCACGTAACAGGCAACAAACAACAGAGATCAGAGAAGTGGTTTAATCATGATCACCAAATTACAGGCACTTCAAGAGAGTTGTTACTATCTCTTATTTGTAGTGACATCCAAAGCTACCTAACTGGCAGCCTGCCTTCAGTAGGTTGTTCTATGTGTAGCACAGAAACAAACAAAATGTGACCCAACAGCAATAAGAATACTGAAATAAAAATGATGGGATGGTGAGAAATGGAAAAGTCCCTTCCCTCCCTCCCCTCACCTCCCCCTTCAAAAGGAAAAGTGTAGGCTATAGAAGAAAACTTGCAAAATAAATGTTAGAAACATATTTACTTTGAGGGATCCAACTCTACTAGCAACTCCTTTGCTTTCATCCGGCCGTCTAATTTGCTACAATGGGGGAAGATGGGTAAAAAAGACAGAAGAATAAAGAAAAAGTGAACTTAAAAAAATTTCCACACAATCAGTTAGCAGTACATGCAAGACATCAATTTGACTCTCTGAGACACCTCTAGAGGACAAAGACACAGACTCTTAACTTCTGAAATAAATGATGCTTTATCATGGCATTTTAAACTTGCTTTGTTGATCATTTTTATCTCAATATATTACCAATCCGGCACACACGTTGCATGCTAAATTCACTAACATTTTGGAAAGAATACATGTTACTTATCTGATTTGAATACTAAGAATAATGAAGTTCTTAAACTCTCACTGAAGAAAAAGCACCCTATACCTTCTACAAATCATATGATCAGCGTATGCTATAACTGGGAGCCTGCAAGTATCATGACTGATACTTGACAGAATGCAATACAGATTCCTACTGACCCAGGTCTAGAGATTTTAGCCACTGCTGTCAAGATTCCCAGTTAAAAATTATGCTGCCCAACCAGAAAATTTTAATGCCAGACCAACATTAGATTTTTATTTTAAATATTAAAATATACCACATATATAATCTCCAACATCTTCTACCTGATTACTTTTCCTTTATTATATACATTTTTTCCTATATGATTCAGAGTATGGAAGAAACAAATCAGGTAGCTTCTCAAAAGGATTCATATTTTTAGAAGCATAAAACACTCATTTACAGCAAAAGTTCTTTTCAGAATTGCTGAATCTGGTAAACAAATGTCTTTTACTGATAAATTGAATTTGTGTCATCTGAAATAGAGAAGACGACAATAAAAATTACTTTAGCAATATCCTTCTAGTCTGAGTCAAGACTGAATTGAAAGTTTTTATTATTTGATGGTTGTTTCATAGCCTAAGTAAAACAAAATCCCACACAAGTGAGGTGAACCCTTTCAAACCACACTAATTGTCTTTTCTTTAAGAAATCTCATCAAGGAAGCCAAAGACTGAATGAACCACGGAAATTCAATGATGCTTTATGCTCTCTGGAGGACACTAGCAGAGGCACAAGTTAAATTGTCCTGTTTCTTTTTACCTGAGCCATGTAAAATGGAGAAATTCTTACTCAAAACTCAGTCAACAGAATGTTTTTTTTTTTAACTTGCATTTGATTCTCAAAAAAACAATGCAACTAAACAATATATTAACAATTTAAGTATTTAGTTCTGATAGGGTGTCCATTAGAAAAATACACTGGAAATACTTATGTTAATCGTTGCTTTCCTTCCCTGGTCTTATGGCATTAAAATAGCATCTGATTTAAACTCTCAAGTGAAACACCCACATTACTGTTATCATGGGACTCCAAGGAAATCTCCAATCAATTCTAATATACTAAGAAGAAACTGTCATTCTTAAATAAAATATGTCTCCTTCAGAAGACAAATTCAATTAAAATATATGCAGTTATAACCTAGTTGCTATATATTTCCTAACTGAGGAAAAGAAAAGGAAATCTCAATTGGGAAAAAAAGATCCTTATCTGAAAAGAAAACATCAGGATCTAGAGCAAAGATACTTTCCCCAATATCCTGGTTGAGATACTACCACTTCCAGGTAATAAGACATAATCTACTAGAACCCTAATACATCTTACTAATTTGAAACTTTTTTCAAAAATAATATATTTAGTTTTGTTTTGAAAAATGAGAAAGAGAAAAAAAAAAAATGCTTATGATCTCACATGGAATGCTTATAATCTCACATGGAACTAGATCATTAAGAAAAATGTTACATAACACAGAAACCCGAGGAAAAGTTCTAAGTGGCAACAATATGCATTACACTTCAGGGAAAACGTTTTTCTTGAATTACTCACCAATATGGGTATTGTGGCTGCTCAAGTTGTGGTGAAGGTTTAGGATTCAATCAGAAATGAGATTGGAGATACTACAGGTGCATATAACTGATATTACTTACTCTTTCTTTCTTCAAAATATATATAGAAATACATAAACAATGTGTACACTACAAGTAACGAAGTTACAAATGCTTGGACATATGAATTACAAGGAGATAGCCTAAGGTCAACTCTTGTTTTGCATCCATGGTACTGTTAATATACATGAAAATGTGTTTTCTACAGGAATCTTGCAAAGTACAACTCAAGGGATGAATCAGTGTTATATGAATATTGGACAAACTATACTACATATGTCCTAGGAATTAAATAGCGTACTATCAGGAAGGCAAGTGACAGTAGGAATAAAAAAAATACATTTTTTTTACTCGGCAAATACCACAGAAAGGAATTCAGGTATATTCTTATCTTTCTCCGGTAAACTCCTGTATGATGATCTAGAATTTGACAGATAAAGTACTAATTCAGAAAATGGCATGGATTATACACTCCTTGTTTTTCAGAAACTCACTTAGACACAAGAACCCCATCACAGATGAACACTTGTAGTTATAAAAGATTACGATGAAAGGTGTGTAAGTGTTCTAAATCAAAAGTATCTATACCATAACACAAGCTAAATAAGTGGATTAAGAGATGAGGCAGGAGCAACACCAAGTAGTTATTGGCAAAATGTTACCTGAAAGACATGAAGGTTTGAGAACACTGAAGGTGGCGAATTAAGATACTCAATGTAATGAAGAAAGAAAGGTGCTGTGTAGGCAACATTCCAGGAAACTAGCAAGGTATAATGCACTGACAGTTAAGATAAATGCATTATATTTACATCCCTTTCTTATTACAAGGCACTACTAGTAGGATTTAATAGCTAAAGATTAGCCACAGGTGTCCCTATCCTGACACCTGAAGAACAAGGTGGAGTTACAGTTGGAGCAGAATGAGATAGGAAGACAGTGGAAGAAAACTAAGGAAGCAGGGAAAACAGAACCAAATAGTTAGCAAAGAGGAATGCTCAAATATACTTAATGAACTTGTTAGAAGATGAGGGAACAGAAAATGTTTTCTAAGCAGAAGTCTTGCATATGGTTTCATTATTATTCCTCTACCTTCTACCTAATAGAGCACATGAGAAACGTACCTGTTAATCTTCATCCTAGATTTTACTTCAGAAAAAAGAATTTAAAATACCTAACCTTAAATACATATCTAGACCAGCAGTTATACTTGTCATTAAGGAAGAACAGCTCTGAACAACTAGCTAATCTGAGACTCTGCCTTTTGTTGGATTATTTAAAGGAAGAGTTCCACAATAGGAGAAACAGCCTCAAATATTTAGCACTATCCATCTTAAACTCCTTCCCCTTTCTGATAATATACTCTGTGTGGGCTACTCTAAAGTTTCCCTACTTACACTCTGACAAAGAAATTGGAATGTTGCCAGACCTAAAGCTTTCAGAAATGTGTTTTCCCATCCACATTCACCAAAAAGCCAAACTTCTGTCAGACTTTTCTTCGAAATCCTGGCCAATGCATGCATTGTTCATAATGAGAAAAACTTTTTGATATGATCAATTTACTTAATTCTGAAATTGAATAAATGCAACACTCACAATGTAAACTCTTTACAGCAGTAGTTTAAAAAGATGTCAAGTACCTCATTCAATGGTTTGGGCATGCAATATTGGAATCACAATAATCAAGAGATCAGCATCCAAAACAAGTTCAGATTATTTGCTGTTCTCCCACTTGATTACTACACAGAGATCAACGATGAACAGTGAGTAAAGACAAAATATAGAAGAAAAACAAGGACATGAGATTCCAGTCCAGGTTAAAGAGATATTCTGTGAAAGGTAGGTGGATGTATAAAAGCAAAAACAAAGAGTTTAATATATTTTTAATGTTGCAGCAAATCAATTTCTTTCAACTTAAAAATGCATTATGCATAACTTTTACATTCATGTATGAAAAATAGACTTGCACTTGAAAGTATTTTTACTTCTGCACTTTTAGGTCAGACAAACACCAATTAGAAGGGGCTTCCTAAATAAGCAGGGAGTATTTTCAAACAAAGGAAATACAGGCTCCTATAAAAGAGACATATATTCTCAATCAATAAACATATTCCTGCCTGTGCATTATACTGCAGTATGGCATAAAAGTTTTATTATGGTTGCTGCACTTCCTAGATAATGGTAAATCTACAAAAGCATAATGTATGTGAATGCTAATGAATGCCAATAAAACATCATTATCATACCATCACAAATTTTGCTCACACTGCCTATATTGTTTTTTTAAATGGGCACTACTCCTCACACTGTTCCATGTGCAGATAAGGGAATAAACACAGTGCAGGTGGAACAATGAATGGTAGAAAGTAATGTAATTTTGTTGCAGTATTGAAGTATCATCACTAGATCAAATGCTTTGTTAACACATATAGTGGCAAAGATAATGTAACCATGTCCTTATACAAAAGGCTTGGTAATACACTGGTTATTTTACACCAACATGTGGCAGCCTAGTTCTTCAAAAATATCTAGTGACTTAAGTGAAATTTAATGGTCAGAAATCAAATCTAAAAGTTGGTAGATAAAATGCACAGCCAGGGAAAGACAAATACAAACATTATGTAGTATGTCTCTATTTGTAGTTTGCAACCGGGCTTGTCTATCTCTCATTGGCCCCTTTAGCCACCAGCGCGCGCCTGTAGCAAATATGGGTAGAGTCCTTCTCAAATCTTCGTTGGTGAAGCCCAGCCATGATGATGATCTGTATTGACTTCATGTCCTAAGACTCATTTAAACTGGAGATCTGGGCATATGAGAGCTGGGTCCTCACTTCCATTATGCAGTTAACAGTTGCACAACCCTCTTGTCACACAGCTGAAGGTTCGCAAACCCTTCTACCAGCTCAAGGCTGCCTTCCTCCCAGTTCTTCCTGACCACAGCCCTTTCTTTTCTCATAATGCTATTGCTGCCTCCTGGATCCAAGCTACCTCCTACTTCAAACCTCTCTAAGCCCTGCAGCCTCATCACTCAAGAGCCACAAATACTGCTTTGCTTTGTTTTAGACCTTTACCACACAACCTTTACATTCAATT